AGCCTTTGCCTAGGGCCCCACATTTCCTTCAGAACAGAAATTTGTTTCAGAGCACATAGCGTGGAGATGACTTGGTGACTCCACATCTCCCACCTGGAGCATCAGTTAAAGCTCAGCGTCCTCAGACGGGTGAAGCATCACACTTACAGACTTCTGGATGCTGCTGAAGTCTTTGCGATGGATCTGCAGGGATTTAACCAGCAGCTTCTTCTCGGCCGCGCTCCACCAGACACCTTCAACACGCGGCTAATGTTAGTGACACATCTGTTTGCCGTATTTCTGAGCTCATTCATGCGTTACGGAGAGAGTGAGTGTGATGAGCAGGTAGAGACTGACCCGTGTGGTTGGATGAGGTTTCAGGATTCATCAGCTTCTCCAACGTCAGCTGAGAGGAAGAACAGATGATTTTTAACAGTCGGCCATGTTTGAACATAAAACAATGACGCCATCAAAGCAGAAGTCAAACACACTCTTATTATTGTCATTTACTGGTGAAACGTGGCGGTTAAATAGAAAACATTACCCTCCCTTTTCCTCTCTGAGGTTTTATTCAGTTCACTTTCATTTTAAAAATCAAAATCATCAACTAGGTGTTAAAATAAACAGAAATATACATATTGCTGCTGTTTTTTATCTCTTGGTGAAGGTTTTCTTTTTTCTTCTCTTTGGGACTTTCTGATGTGTTTGTGGTTATTTTGGTTCCTTTGCGGTGCTTTTGTCATTGTTTTATTTCCCTTTATGTCTGTTTGGGTCTTTTTTTGTCTTCTTGATGAGATATTATTTTTATTTTTTCTTAATTTTTGGACGGTTTGGGTCTCTTTGTGTTGTTTTACTTTCTGCAGAGTTTTGTGTGCAAACATCTCTTATTGTTTTATTATTGTTTTGGTCTCTTTTTAATCTCTTTGTGGTTGTTTTTGCATCTTTTTGTGGATTTCAGTGTCTGTTTTTGTGTGTCTATCCTCCTTTCTCCAGTTTAACTTATTTTATTGGTTGCTCCTTGTTTTCTGCTATTTAACAGAAGTTTAGACTCTTCCATCTCTACGGGGCCCTGCAGGGCCCCTACAGCTGATCTCTCCTTTATTGCATGATGATCTTCTACATGGCATGTCTTATTTGGATAAAACTCTTATTAAATAAGGTTTTTTAACCCTTTTAACAAACTTGAGTTTTTACCAGGAAGTCTCCCTTGCACTCTGAGAGCAGCTGGAGGGCGAACTCTGGACTAGCCTGGGCTCCTGGCACCACACTGGAGCGCGCCAGCAGTAGCAGGGCCTCCACTGAAACAGCAGAATATCCAAACTGTTCAATCATAAGCCAAAAAAGAAAAATGCAGCTTCTGTCAGAGTTTTTAGAGTTTTTATTTACCTCTCTGTTGATTGACGGGATGCTCCAGCTCATCGTACGGCGTCCACAGCAACAGTGCATTGTGGGAGTCACCTTGGGCATGCTTACTGTCCCGCAACGGAGGAATCTCTGCCTGGAAGTTCTTCCCAAAATTGATCCGCCTGTGATTGACAGCTGACAGTTGGTACCAGACACACGGAATAAAATGTTTTAGTATTTGAATACGTACGGTTTGATGTTTCCCGATGCTAGCAGTTCAGGTGGAGGATCGGCTGTTACCATGGAAACAGGGTCAGCTAACTCATCTGAGAATCAGAGACACATGTTAACCTCAGATGTCGCTCGCTCAGTCTAAACGTTCACTCTTTTTTTTATTAAAATAAAAAATGTAATAATAAAACAAAAAAAAAACAAATAAATAAATAAACGTTCATTGTTCTTTTATATAAAAAAGTTAAATAATACAATAACAAATAATGAAAAAATTAAAATAAAAAATAAACTTTCAGCCTTTTTTATTAAAATAAAAAAAATTATAAAACAAAAAATAATAATAATAATACAAAAATATTTTAAAAATATATAGATAAAAAATTTAATAAAAAAACAAATAAATAAATAAACGTTCAGTGTTTTTTATTAAAATAGAAAAATTAAATAATACAATAAAAAATAATAAAAAAAACCAAATAAACTTTCAGTCTTTTTTTTAATTAAAATAAAAAATAATAATAATAATACAAAAATATTTAAGAAGTATATAAATAAATAAAAAAATAAAAAAATAAACGTTTTTTTTAAATAAGAAATAAATTAATAAAACAAAAGAATAATAATAATAAAATAAATAGAAAAATAAATAAAATGAAAAATAATTAATGTTCAGTCTTTTTAAAAAATAAAAGAAACAAATAAACTTTCAGTCTTTTTTTTTAAAAATTTAAAAAATAATAATGAAAAATAATAATAATAATAATAATACAAAAAAAAAATAAATAAATATTAAAATAAAATAAAATAAATAAACACCCAGTCTTTCTCAGGACTCACTGTGCAGCTGAATCGTCTCTGCTCTCTGCTGCCTCCCAGTGGTGAGGGAGCAGTACAGCCCTGACCCCGCCCTCTCAGGGCATAGCATCGGAGGAGGGGTGTAGTGACATAAATTAGCCATGGTAACGTTCTCCCCCGCCTTATGGCCTGTGGGGGCAGCGTCCTCCTCATGCATCAGGCTGCGGTAGAGCACAGCGCCCCCGCTGGCTGGAGTGGAGACGCAGCCTTTCTTCTGTCCTCTGGTTTGGACAGGCACAGAGACGGGCATCACGAGGGACATGGGGCTTTGAGTGGGAGGGGACGTATCCTGAAGACAGCAGGGACAGAGAAACTAAAACTTTTAAAGCTGCTGTACTTTATTTTCACCACTAGAGGGCGAGCTTTCCTTAAAGTTAATTGCATTTTTACCAATTACCTTTTGGAATCTATGTTAGAACTATAGAAGCCTATTTTAATGCTTAAAATATGTTTAAATCTTGTAATTACAACCCCTTGTGTTGGAAAAAAGAAAAACTGGGGGACCTTTTTAATCCGTGTCGGGGATCTGAAGCCACTGTGGGAACGCATGTGACCATTTAAAGCTGGAAGGCTCTTAAAGTCGCGGTTACACACGGTGCACAGCAGCCGGCACCTGCTTTAAGACACACAGGAGGAAGTTATGGCCTACTGGAACGTTCATGGCATGATTGGTGCACCAGAAAACATTCAGGGTACCTCGAGTCCAGGACTCCAGTGGTTCTTAAAGGCTGCAGCTGTTTCACCTAAAAAACAGGATAATAAAATATATTTTAATGCATCTGCTCCATTTTCCCTCCTTTACCTCCAGGATGACATGAAACAGAACGGTAGCCCACCCAGTTCCAGTCCGTTTGCCTCTCAGCCGCTTTCCTCGGCCCTCTTCTTCCTCCTCTTCCCTCCTCCTTGCAGCCCCGCCCGGTAGAACCGCTGCTGGGGGGCCCCCTTTCCTGAGCGGAGAAGCTGGTTTCATGTTGGCAGGCGGTGGCCTCCTCAGCCGCCGGGCTTTGACTCTGCAGGTGGCGTTGGGTTCTCTGGTGAGGAGCTTTCTCTGACGACGGGAAGTAGGCGCCGTGGTCGTTCAGAGAAAGAGCCGAGGACGCGTCTCTGCTCAGCTGTTTGGACGCTTGCTTGGGACAACCCGTCCGGTCCGTCCTGGGATGCATCTGAGGACTGGGACTGGAGACGGTTGGCGTTTGCGGGTAATGGGGACTCGGACCTGGTGTGGTTGGGCTACAGAACGGCTGCTGGGGGTTGTTTCCATGGTAACTTTCATGGTAGAACTGGTTGGCGGGGAAGTCCTCCGCGGGGGACGAGCTCCATCTCCCCATGGGATCCCCGGAACCCAAAGGGGGGCAATGCACCTGGGACAGGGTTGGTGACATGGAGTCCCACGCGTGCTGAGCTTGACCTGCCGGGTCGCTGTGCTCAAACACGCCGCCGGCGTGAACGCTGTGAGTGTTATAGGCTTTGGCTGTTCTTTCCACCTCATCCGTGCAGGGGGGGTCGCTGGTGCCGTACTGGTTCTGGAGGTGGATATCCAGCGGGGAGGGCGACCCGTTCTGTTTTCCATCAGAAAAGAAACAAACCGTCAGGGAACAGCGCTGGTTCTGCTGGCTCAGGGCGGCGGGGACTCTTACCTGGTAGGAGAAGCCGCTTCCGTTGAGATAGCAGGAAAGATCCGAGGACTCCTCGCATTTGTCCCAGTCGACATAATCCAACTCCGGATCGGGGTTCTGGTTGTACAGGAAGTGCTGCGGTTGGGGGTGGAGGTGAGGGGAGGCGACCTGAGGAGAGCCAAGGTGATAGGAGGAGCTGACGGGGGCTGAGGGGAGGTGAGGGGAGGTTATCTGGGACGGATAGAACAGCTGGGAGGGGGACACTTCCATGTGCGGTGAAAGGTGGGGGGATGTAATCTGATGCGTGGAGGTAATCTGGGATTGAGGAAACTGAAAGGAGGAGGCCTGGGTCCGAAGTCCGAGGTTCGGGGAGCTAACCTGGCACATGACAGGAGGGGTATTCTGAGGGGAGTATATAGGGGAGGTCACCTGGCAAAGAAACGTTTCAAAACTGGTTAAAAGAGTAAAATCCGCAGTAAATATTAATAGGATGCAGCAGAAATAGAAACCTTGGCTGGAGAGGGGCTCCCATGGCTCCTGAACAAGGAGGTGGAGAAGGGGGGGAGCGAGTGGGAGCGAGAGGACTGCTGGACGATGGAAGGAGGGGACGCTGCCGGGAACGTCCACAGGTCGGACATGTTTTCATGCGCACACAGAGCTGCGTGTCCCGAGGATACGTCTGGATAGAAACATGGTTATAAGAGCAGCAGGAGAGACGGAATCCTCAGAATCTAAGGAGGAAAAAAATAATATTTCAGGCAAAACCGTCCGCACTGGAAAAATGAGCTAGAAATAAGTAAATATTGCTTAAATTAAGCATAGTTATCCTTCATTTCAGCAGGTAAATTAGTATTTTTACTTTCCTAAAATAAGATAATTAGATATAAAATAAAAAATGTCAAAAATAAAAATATCTTATTGACTTATAACTAATCTAGATTTGGATTTTTTTCATTCCTGATCTATCTCTATAGTTCTGCTGCTATAGGCTTAGTCTGCTGGAGGACATAGGGACCCTTTTTTTCCTTTTTCTATCTCTGCTTCTGTCTCCTTGAACCCCAGTGGGCCTCAGCAGATGGCCGCTCACACTGAGCCTGGTTCTGCTGGAGGTTTCTTC